GGAGTGGTAGGAGGGCTGGCTCAGCATTTGGAGTTAGGACCTTTAAGGCTTGTCCCTTACTAGTGACAAGACAATGGCAAGTTAAGATACCTCTTAGAGCCCTAGTTTCCCCATCTATAAGTGAGTACACCTGGTAACAGTAAGACCTTGGACAAGGTGAGGATTTCAGTGACAGTGGCCATGAGTGCCCCGAGCAGTGCTTAAGACAGTGCCCCATAAGTGCTCAGTGCTGCTGCCAGCTCTAAAATGAGGGGTGGGGCAGACATCTAGCCTAGAATTTCCCTTGCTAGGATGAGTGATTATTCCTATCCCTCCATCCTTGCTTAGGGGGTCGAGGTGGGAAAGTCCAGGGTCTTTTCAGCTTTCTGAGCAGCTGCCTAGTCACCAGGCTTGTACCTCTGGAGAGTATGGCAGGGCTGCTGAAGAGGACTGGCAGGATGGCCAGACCCCTGGCTAGTGGCTGTCCAGGGTCACAGCGAACTCAGAGGATGAGAGCTGCATTGCAAAAGAGTACAGGGGAGCTCAGAGTCTGTGACCTGAAGAGCCCTGTGGGTCTGGAGAGCTGGAGTTGTGGGTGCACATGCTAAGAGTGACAGAAAATCCAACTCGGACCCCCAGGAGGGACTTCAAGCTACATGTATGTATTTCAGTTATATCTTGGGAAGATGTAGTGTGGTGTGTGGTGGAGAGAGGCTTCCTGCCCCAAACCAAGGATGTTTCACCTGGACAGACTGGTCTAAGGGACCAGAGCTGGGGTGGGGTTGGGGGGTCTTGCAGCTTGCCACCCATTGCCTCCCATTCAGGCTGCCTTCCTGGGGCTCAGGTTCCCGTTGCAAAGTATTTGGCACTGAGGGAACCTTTTCCATTTGCCTCTGGTGTTTGCTTCTCTAGCTTCCTCCAGCCTCACTCTTCCCGGATGGATGCTTTTACGTCTCTAAGCCAGTCTCATTTGAAATAGGTGCAATGGCACCTGCCTTACAAGTAATTCAATCTTTGTCTCATTCCTTTACTTTTTTATTATTTATATTTTAATTATTTTTTTAACTTATTTTCATCCTAACTGAAACTTTGTATTCTTTGACTAACATCTCCCTCCTTATTCGTTCATTTATTTGTACAAATTCTGTGCCGGAAATGAATGTAGGAGGTGCTCTCCGCCTTTTAGAACTTCCTGACCTAGCTATGAAGGAGTTCCTTCAAATAGACCAGTGGTTTGTTGCTTCCTTCTTTTCTTTCTCTCCTCCTCCTCCTTGTTCTACCAACTTATTAGGTGAAAAGGATAAGCACAAATCTGGCAATTGTTAAGTTGAACGGTTTATATGTCTAATAGTCAGCAAACACCAAGTTAAGGGAGATGGTGAGCTCTGCTGTAACAAGTCAGGTTGATACAAATTAAAAGCAAAATAAAATCTCCCTGACATACTGACTGATTTCAGATTAAGGGTCTTTAGGCATAGGCTTCACTTCTAGGATGTAGCAAAGTGCCATCAACAGATTTTGAAATGAGAAGTGCAAGTTTCTAGTCAAAGGGATTGGGAGAGAGGGTCATTTGATGACATCAGTCCTCTTGTATACAGGACTATAATGAGAGAAGAGGCTTGTGGAAGGGAATGTGAAGGGCTGGCTTTTTGCCTACAGTTGGCTCATGGCAGCTGGGCTGGACTCTGTGATGCCAGGTCAGCAGGCAAAGTGGCTGAGGGTCACGGTGCAAGAAGGTGTGTACACTCTCCAGGTTGGATGCTTCCTTTGGGCTATTTGTGTGATGCATGGCTCCAGAGCAGGTTTGGACAGGTGGGGAATGTGGTCTGCAGGGGAGCTGCACTGAGCAACCTTCTTCTTGGACCCTTTGTTTAGGGTTAGAGGTTCTGGAGACCTGGGAGAGAACACGGATCAGAAAGAGTAAAAGAAATGGGCGTGGCTTCCTGGGGGGAGGGCCAGGGAAGAGCTGGGAGAGGTAGTGACTTGGTCCTGCCTGGGGCCCTGCGCTTTGTGGGGGTCTTGTTTTGTCCCTCTCAAATGGTTTTCCTCCCTAGTAGTGGGAAATCAAGAGAAACTGGGGTACAAAGCCACCTAGGCTAATGGTTCTCAAAGTGTGATTTCCTGGCCAGCAGAATCAGCATCACCTGAGAGCTTACTAGAAATACAAATTCTGCATTCTAGTAGGGTCCTATGTGATACTGATGATGCAGACAAGACCCACTGCATGTTTACTGGCTTTGAGTCACTATTGTAAATCAAGTTCCAGGTACCTGCTCCACAAATATCCCTGGACCCACTTCCAGGTCCTGGGCACTTCTTTATATAGGGTCTGTGCACCTGTAGAACTGGGACACTTGACTTGATTAGCTGGGTGTCCACATGCATGCAGGGAAGACTCCTGGGAAGAGAAGGAGCAAGATGAAAGTTGAAGCCCCTATTTCTACTTTTGCCCTGAGACCTGGAAAGGATAGAGTTGGGCTGGTTTTGCTAGAAAGATCAGCAGAAATCCTAGAGCTGCAGAGACTGGTCAGATGCTTGCCTCAATTTAGACTCAGCTGTGCAGACTAACCATTTATTAGCTTGTGCTTAATAAAAAGAGTGAAAACAAAATCAGGCTGATTCTTCCCATATTGCATGAGAGAGAAATAAAGAAATTATTCTTTACACCTGCCTCATGCTCTCCAGCCAGTGGCAAATCATCTCAAGAATTACATACGCAAAGATGGAAATGAGAGCCCAGGTTTTACTCCTAGGAAGTTCTGCAAATACAGTTTGGACCATTTCCCCCTTTGCTTATACTCTGGCCACTCCTGGTTGCGTTTAGACTCCAGTAGGGAAAATGTGGCTTAGGGGCTAAATGTTCTAACTCTGGAAGTAAATAGACCTCAGTAGGAATCTCACCTTCTCCAAGACTTGGTTTTCCCATCTATAAAATGGGAGTGATATGAGTAAGTACCTACCTTACAGAACTATTCTGTATAAGTGGATAAAGACTGGAAACAGCCCTCACAATGCTTAGCTAGCACAGCAAGTGTCCTAGGTTTATCATGCTCAACAATCCCTAGTTTATGGAGAGAGGCAGGAAAGTGTAGCCTAAGGCAACAGGTCCCAGAGATCTGGGCGTTGGCTGAGGAGTGTCAGACACAGGTTTCTTTAAAGAAGGAGAAGAAAGTGTGCTGAATTCCCCCTGATTTTAATATGACCCTGGTTGGTTTGAAGGTCTTGACTTCCATAAATCAGTTGCCTCCAGCAGCTTTTCCCTTTTCACCTCTAACCCTTCCCACACTCTATCTCAGGTCAGGGCATGTGTGTGTGAGAGCGAGGCAGCCAGCCCTGCAGTCAGCCCAGGAGAGCAAACTAGGTGTGGCTGAGGCTTCGAAGCCAGTGCCCCAGGGCTACATCTGGACTGGCAGTGAGGGTCTAGGAAGGACCCAGTGACACTTTTACTATTGAAATCGACCCAAACTTTACTAGCTTCTGGGGAAATCTGGGGGCTTTGGGGATTTTTGTATTTGCTGGGTTGTAAATATTTTATGGGAAGGCAGCCCAGGAAAATCTGGTTAGCTTTCCGCCTTGCACACTGAAGTGGGGTTGGCTTCATGCACAAATGTGTCAAAGAAGAAGTCCAGTTTTGCCTTGGTTCTGAAGAATTTGCCTTGGATTTTAAAAGTCTGTTACCCCCCATGTCTCGTAAATTTCTTATTCTCACTTGTAGCCAAAACATTTATCTTCAGTAATATTTGCCAAGCAAGAGAATTTTTGGGTTGTGCGGCAGCAGGGGAGGGATGGGGGAATGTCACTGTCACTCGTGTGTGTGTGTGTGTGTGTGTGTGTGTGAGAGAGAGAGAGAGAGAGAGAGAGAATGGCCGCTGGAGGTTTTCTCCTTCCAGATTTGCCTATTTCTCATTGACTGCGGTATCTTCTCAATGGATAGATGCCTGGTGTGCCTGTTAGCTTATTGGCTGTCCTACCTCCCATAAATCTGAAAGCTTAACAGCTCTTTTGTTTGTTGTGAAAGGAGAAGAAATGAATAAATAAAGAAATAAAATCACTTAGCAGATCTTCATTCTGTCTGTACTGTGCTGGGTCTAAATGCTCCCACAAACAGCCAGATGGGCAGCAATGTTATCCCCAGACTAGTGGGTCTAAACTGGAACTTCACCTTTAAATCATCTTGCAGGTTAAAAAAAAAAGGCTGACAATGACCGAAGACCCTTTGCTCAGGCCCGATCTTGATATTGATTCAAATGGCCTCACACTAGTGGTTGTGAAATTCTCTGTATGATTTTGATGGGCAGCCAGATGGAGGCCTGCTGCGGTGGAAATTTCTCACTCACTGACCCGCGTGTACTCTAGATCAGGCAAGATCTAGGTGCTGAGGTTTGCAAGCAGGACAATGACATCATCCTAGCTCCGCGGGCTAGAGGAGGCGGGCAGAGTGTTGCTGAGAAAGACAGACCACTGGCGAGGCAAATGTAAACCAGGCAGTTGTACAGAATTCTAAGTACCAGTTAGAATTAGACAATAAGCCAGGGTTCTCTGATATAGTGACCCAGAGAGGTTACCTTAGATCGAGGAGGTTGAGGATGTCCTCTCAGAGGAGGTGACATTTGAGACGTGACTGATGAGAACAAGCCAGGCTACAGGAGGTCTGGGGGAAGCGTGGCTCAGGCTCATGACCACAAAGGGCACATTAGTGGTTACGAAGCCTCTTGGGGGTAAAACCCGGGAGGCCACCACCGTGGCTGCCTTGCCAGCAGCCACTAACTTCCGCACTGGGAGTCGGGAGCTGACCTGGAGGAGGGGGCCTGCCCTGGTGCGCCCCTCCCCGCGCCGTGCACCAGCCTGACAGCGAGCTGGGGTGGTCAGGCTCTGGGGTGGTCAGGCCCCGGGTCGGCTGAGCTGGACTCCCCAGCCTGCCTGCCCCGCTCCCCGCCCTTTTCCTCCCGGGGACGGCCAAAGAGCACCGGGCTGATCTCCCCCTTAAGTGAAACTGACTGTAATTATTTTTTATCTCGCAGACGATCTCTCGCACACTCCTCTCCGGAGACAGAAGTATTTGTTTGATGTGTCCACGCTCTCAGACAAAGAAGAGCTGGTGGGCGCGGAGCTGCGGCTCTTTCGCCAGGCGCCGGCAGCGCCCTGGGGGCCACCGGCTGGGCCACTCCACGTGCAGCTCTTCCCCTGCCTGTCGCCCCTGCTGCTGGACGCGCGGACCCTGGACCCGCAGGGGGCGCCCACGGCCGGCTGGGAAGTCTTCGACGTGTGGCAGGGCCTGCGCCACCAGCCCTGGAAGCAGCTGTGCTTGGAGCTGCGGGCCGCGTGGGGCCCGCTGGACGCCGGGGAGGCCGAGGCGCTCGCGCAGGGCGCCCAGCAGCCGCTGGCCCCGGACCTGCGGAGTGTGGGCTTCGGCCGGAGGGTGCGGCCCCCACAAGAGCGCGCCCTGCTCGTGGTGTTCACCAGATCCCAGCGCAAGAACCTGTTCACTGAGATGCGCGAGCAGCTGGGCTCGGCGGAGGCTGCGGGCCCGGGTGCGGGAGCCGAGGGGTCGTGGCCGCCGCCGTCGGGCGCCCCAGACGCCGGGCCTTGGCTGCCCTCGCCCGGCCGACGGCGGCGGCGCACGGCTTTCGCCAGCCGGCACGGCAAGCGGCACGGCAAGAAGTCGAGGCTGCGTTGCAGCAAGAAGCCCCTGCACGTGAACTTCAAGGAGCTAGGCTGGGACGACTGGATTATCGCGCCCCTGGAGTATGAGGCCTATCACTGTGAGGGCGTGTGTGACTTCCCGCTGCGCTCGCACCTGGAGCCCACCAACCACGCCATTATCCAGACGCTGATGAACTCCATGGACCCCGGCTCCACCCCACCCAGTTGCTGCGTGCCCACCAAATTGACTCCCATCAGCATCCTGTACATCGACGCGGGCAATAACGTGGTGTACAAGCAGTACGAGGACATGGTGGTGGAGTCCTGCGGCTGCAGGTAGCGGCGCCTTCCCCGCCACCTCGGCCGGGACGCAGGGGAGGCCTGGCTGCAGAGAGGCGGAGGAGGAAGCTGGCCTTGGGGGAGGCCGTGGGTTCCAGAACAGCCTGCACGTGAGAGCGGGTGCTGAAGAGGGAGTGCAGCCTTCCCAGAACCTTCCACCTGCCAGCCCAGAGGGAGATACAGATTTTCACACTTGCCTGGCCACCCTAGAAAAACAAGCCAAGGAGGATTTCTTTCGTGTTTTTTTTTCTCTATTATTGTGGCTTTGAATTTCCGTGTGTCTCTTACAGGTTTTGATAGGAGGTAGGGGGAGGGGAGATGCATACCTGTTTCACAACTGCTCCACGACTGGAAAAAAATATAGTTAAAAAGGGAAATAACAAAGGAGTACGAATCACCTCTGACCAGGACTTGGTTTGGTTGTTTGTTCGATACTTGTGTAAAGAAGGTGGGATCCTTCTGGACATGCCATAGCCCATGTCTTGTGACCTCCCAAGCAGAAAGTGTTAGGGGAATTGGTGAAACACATAGGAGAGTCAGGAGGGCCCTGCCGTTAGAAGAGCTTCGAGAGAGGTGGGCCCACGCATGTCCTTTTCACTCACTTGTGTGCTTCCTAGAGTTTACCAGCTCTGCCCCGGCCTCTTCCAGGACCGGACAACTGGCAACCTCCATCTCACTGCTGAGGGCTCGTGTCTATGCCTTTATTGTTGCTTTTTCTGATGGGGGAAAGGGGAGCTGGTATGGATGGAATGACAAGAATTAGTTCAAATGGAACCCCCTGAAGGATAATGAGAAGCCACAAGGCCTGCTTCTGACTGGGGCTGAGATGGAGGTGCAGTCACCCAGGCTGGAGATAGCCCACCCCAAAGCTCTTCCTGATGTCTGTTTCTAAGGGATTTCTTTCAACAGAATTTGCCAAAATTTAGACATCCCCTTCTAAGGGGAGGGTGATTTCCCAGTTTCTTTAAAAAAAAAAAAAAAAAAGGTAGGGATGGGAAATAATACAGTGAAGGCAAAAGGGTCAGAGGAGGAGAACAGGACCCAAGAAGTCCAAGGAGCCCCTCAGGAGGGAAGAAGGTGGGCCCCACAGGAGGATGGGGGTAAGGGACAGGCCAGGAGAGGGAAATGAGGATGAAAGAGGACACAGTCCCGGTCTCTGAAGTTTCTGTAAAATCTATGTGCCCTCCCTCTCTCTGACATTCCTGAAAGATTACCAGCCAGCAATAGCCCAGGGCTCCCCCAAAAGAATTGTTTCAGATTGTAATTACCAGTTAGGCAATGTTTTTAAAGCTTAGTAATGAGAAACTGTGAAAAGAGCCAAGTGTTACATTGAGCTTGGGGTGGGAGATGGGGAACAGCCTGTAAGGAGGGAGGCAGAGGTGAGGTTCATCTTCCGGAGGGGAGCAGGAGAGAGCACACACTGAAATTGAAATGCCCATTCCCCGGCAGTCAAAACCGCGACCTTTTCCCCAGCCTGCACCAGTATTATTTGCAAACACTGCCCATGAGTAGGCTGTTTGAAGTTAGCTTCCTCCTCATCTTTGACCATGAAATGGTTTAATCAACGGAACTCCTACCAACCATTAAAAAAGTTTGGTTTTTTTTTTTTTTTTTTTTGGTTTTGCTCTCACCAAATCTAAATCTGTTGCTTGTTTGGTTCAGAGAACTACAAACTGTCAAGGAAAGAGTGGGAATGATAAGAAATGCTAATATAAAATCCTAAGTAAAAAAAAAAAAAAAAAAAGACTGGGCCAGGAGAAATAATTTAAAATGCACATTTGCTTTGGATGCACTGTTGTTCTGTTAAGGCTGTATATATTTGTTTATTTAAGGTGACTGAAAGTGCAAAGAGGAAACGGACAGCATGCAATTCATCTTAATGTACAGAATGTTATATGCACTCAAATGTTATAATTTCTAATATTTTTAAAGTTTATATTCGAGTTGTACAAAGTTAAGCATTAATCAGATATTTCATCCTTTCATAATGTTATCATTTTCTTAAATATTATTACAAAATTTTACGTCTGTCTAATGGAGAGTTTTTTTTTTAAACTGTCTACCTCACTAGAATACAAGTATTTACCACACTAAAGCTACCAGAGGTCAACTGATATCCCAAACATTTTTTACAGGATGCCTTTCCTGGATGGTACTCAATCGAATATTATATTATTAAACTCATTTTTCTCCTTAATAACTCAGCCTGGTTTATATGGATTTAGAAAAATCATTTGCTCAAGGAATGATTGTCAGCAGTAGTTTGTCTCACTACGTCTCAAAACAAACCGATTATTTTAAAATCCATCATTGAGAGCATCGCCCTTCTCCTTCATCACCTCAGCAACTCTTTTTTATGACATTTTCATTCACTAGATTAAAGGCAAATCCTTGCCGGCCATTATAACAGTGATTGTGAGCACATGCTTTATCCTGGCACTTCAAGAATCCAAATAGAAATTGGATTATTTCTTCGTGTCTTTAATGTTGAAAAAAGGAAGCAGTGAATTACCCACATCAACCAAGATGTCAGTATTACTGTTTACACGTAAGGCATACCAGGAAACAGAAGGTACAAAATGTTTTTCTGTTTGTTCACTTTCTATAATTGGGGAACCCAGGTGTAAGACTGAGCACTCACTATGTCAGGCATGATTGTTATTATACATGTGTTATCTCATTTAAACCCCTCAGAAACTCCACACGGTAAATGTTATTATAATCTCCACTTTACCCATGAGAAAGCAGGGTGCAAAGAATTTAAGTTACTGGCCTGTGGTCATCCCACCAAAGAGTAGTCCTTAGGATTTAAACCTACTTCATTTAGACTCTACAGCCTGAGATGTTAACCACTATACACCTTTGCTCCCCTATCCTCTGCTCTCTGACTGGTCCCTAAATTTCAGCATGGAGTGGCCAAATGGTGAGGAGAAGCTGCCACAGGGGCCACCAGCACTGTCCTCAGTTTTGGAGTAAGTGAATTGTGACTGCTGGAATAAGGGCAGCTAAACAATGGGTAAAGGTTATAAAACTTAGTGAATTCTTAGGTTGGCTCAGGAAATCCTTAGTTTAGGTCTCAACTGGGCTTGGTAGTTTCTCTAGATTTTGCTGGGACTGCCTTGGGTGTGATTTTTGTGAGTTTTTGTTATAATAATCATCAACTTACAAATAGATTATATTTCAAAAAACAGGTTGTAGGTGGACTGTTTTGAACTGAGAGACATTTTTCCATGGACACAAGGATTGTCTGAATTTCCTGGTCATTTTGCCAAAGCTTGATTACCCAAATGAAACTTTTTAACAAAGCAATTTTGACTTCTGGGTTTGGGGAAGAGAAAATTACCTGGGAAAGCATACAAGAAACTTTTCTGGGGGGAAACATTTTGAAATAGTTAGGAATTCTTTGCATTTTCCCACCACTCTTTCTAGACCCCACACCCAATCTTCCCAACCTCCCAACTTCCCTGAGGACTTGGAGTCCTGTACCTCAATGTGCCCCCAATCCAGAGATTTCCCTTCTTTTTTTGACAAATAGTTCCATCTCCAAAGTTATTTTCCTTTCTCCCCTGTATCAGATACTTTATTCCTCAAGTGTTAGGGAAAACACAATCTGACTGAATTATAGGAAGATGTAAATAAATATCTTCTAGCCCATAACCTTCAAGACATTTTATTTTATTTTTTTAATTTTATCTTGGTTATAAATGATGTGAAAAGGTCCAGACAATAGGGAAGATTGAACACTCAAGCCACACACAATTTTGAGAGTTGTATGTGAATTAGGCAAATAGTGACACAAGAATGAATGGAGATACTTGTCAACATGAATGTTTTAGTGTCCCTTAGGGGAAATTTTGTGCAATGAGGAGCCTATTTATGGCCAATTTGTTTTATCATTAGTATCCAATGTAGTAAAGCAAAACATTCGGTAATTTAGTTTTTTCTAAAGCTCTTAAGTGTAATGTATGTTGGCCCCATTAAAATAAGTTTTTGCCCTTGTTTTGTTCATTGCTGTATTCCTAGCACTCAGCATAGTGTCTGACATGTAGTAGACATCCAGTAAATATGTTGATAAATAAATTTACAAATGGTATGCTACTTACAAATCTAGTGATTTTAACAGCCGCTTTAAGGGGAGCCTTTGGTTAATGCTTCTTCAGTGGAAGTTGAATGGACCAACCTTCCTTAATTAATCAATTCCAGTTTTAAGACTAATTAATAAGCTAGTTATATTAAATTGATGAATGCAATATATTATAATGTATATTATACATTGCATTCATCAATTTAATATAATCATTTTCTTTTTAAAGCCCTTCAAGTTCCTTCCACAGGAAAAGCCTTCTCATATACTTAATATACTCTAAGCAAAGCTAGTAAATTCAATATCTAAAGATGGTGATTCTTAAGTTCTATTAAGCATTTTAGTACTGTTTGTACCTTTTGACTTTACACCAGAAACCTAAAATAAATACTTAATAACCATTGAAATTGACGTCAGAGGCTAACCTGTTAGATACCTTAATAAACTATATTTTCTTTAAGCTTGCAAACATTTTAAATACCAAATATAGAGGAATTCTCCCAGTGACTGCAAATATTATTTTTGAACTTAATAAAAATGTGTTAGTAATTTAAATTTCATTTACTTAATCTCTGCACTCTATTCTAAAATTTCTTTGGGTTAAAAACACTAACCTACTACCAAAAATTGTGGTGTCAGAAGCAAGATGAGTGACCATTTCAGTGACTATGGCTGTAAATAAGTCTACCAGGGACTTTGGTCAAGAAAGGAGGTGGATTTTCCCTGGGATATTAATGAACAGGTTAACTCCCTAAGTCCTTTTAAGAGTTACTGCAATAGAAGGAACCCCAAATTTGTATCTTTTATGAGTTGGCCTCTCCTGGGTTCAAAGTAGGCAATTTAATTAATATTTCTCTTGATTTGAGTAAATTGAATTCTGCACTCCCTATTAAGAATGTAACTAACTTTCTTCACTG